GCCATGATGTTCTTCAATCACACCTCAGACACACGCACCCAGCGGAAATAGAGCTTGCTAGAAAATCAGGACGGCATTGGTTACGAGACCACATTAAGACGGGGCTGACCCTCCAGAGTTGGACGGCTCAGGGCGTCCATAAGTCTTGGATCATCGGAATCGAAGGTGTGCAGACATCTGAAAAGCAGTTGAACGCCAATATTCTGCTACAGGAGACGCCAGATGCTATCAGAGACTTTGCTCAGCAGCTCCTTTCTGAAGAACAGGAAAAATTGGAGTCTCGATTGAGTAGGAAAGATTTGGTGCAAGACACTACAAATGCGAACTTGATGACTAATTGGATGCGCCGTACTGGGTGGGAACACCTGCTCAAAGATGCCCGTCGCGATATCCTCGTAGCCATGTCAAATTTACCTGTATTGACTGGTCGGCCGCTTCGCCTCGAAATGCACGCAGGGGAGTCGCTCTTGAGCTCAGTCACAGTCGAGCAGCGATTGGCGTTGATTGTGGATGCGACTGATCGTCTATTTGATCGATGTGTCGATACTATACGAAGCACTGATGTCTGCGTGCGTAGATGGCTCCGGAGTAGACTTCCGGACTATCCGTACAACGCGCCCTTCGAACTTGTCTCCAAATCCAGCTCTGAGCGTGTATATCGGAAGGAGTTGAAGCGCTGCTTGTGTTTTTGGCTTCGACTACTCCAGTTCCCACCCAGAACGGTCAAGGTTATCCTAGGCAAAAGCTTAAGGAGAATCCAACGTCAAGAGTTGACACGACTTTGGGAGGACCCTGCCTGGAGTGTAGATCAAGATACGTTATTGACCGATGCATCTATACCTTGCGACGAATCTGTAGCAGACGAAAGTAGTGATGAAGACCAAGACGAAGATGAGGGTCAAGGGAGCGAGGATGACTGTACTGAATGGTCTAGGGAGGAAACTCTCGATTACTCCGACGGTTATTCATCCACAAGAAATTCTCCGACACCACATATAACTACTCCAGCGGATCCTGCTGCCGACCTTGTCCTACGTCTCGCTTACTATATGACAACAGAAGATTTTGCGGACGGAAGATCAAGTTCCACCATGCTCGTCTTCTTCAGCGCCATTCGTGGACTCTCTGGTCCAGACGGGGAACAATATCTCCGCCCACATAGATTCACGCCTATCTTATCAAGACTGATTTACTGCATACGGCTGGTTTTTATTGAGGCAATACTGCCGCAACTCGAGCATCCCTATGTAAACATTGCGTCTCGACCACGACACGATCAGTTACAAACATTGAACGCCGCTCGTCGAGAAAAGATGTGCGATGGGACAATGTCATCGATGGGAGAGTTCTTAAGTCTACTGGATTTTGGTCGTGCCTTGAGCCGATCTGAAGGACCAGTGTACCACTTCTACTGGAGTGAAGATGGTCAAACGCTTTCTTGGGATGGCCAGACTTACCTAACAATGATCCAGTTCCGGGGTCTTGCACACGAGGCATTGTTACAATCTTCAGCCCACTGTAAGAGATTGATGTACGACTGGGATCCTGACTATCTGGGCCTTGCAGATGTTCGGGATCGCTTGTCAAATACAACTAATGGCTACTCTTTCGTATCCGATCCAGCCAACAAGTTAGAAGATGCTTATTTAGAACTCTTTATGAGGGCTTGTCTCTCTCCTGTCGACGGTTTGCTTCAGAAGCGAGGGAAGGATCAAAGCTCATGGGATGTAAAAGCGGCACGAGCATATCTCAACGCACATGACGATCTGCTACGATGCCTCATGGCTCTATTTCAGTTCGATTGGGGCCAAGCATGCCGTATTTCTGAGCTACTGACGCTAGAATGCTACAATACGACCTCGAGGCTGAGGAGTATTTGCGTCTATGGAGCGAAGCTTTGCGCCATTACAAGAAGCCACAAAGCCCGTTTGACCACAAACAACGAGTTCCAGGTAGCTCGATTCTTCTCTCCAGTTGTTTCTAGACTGGTTTATCAATATCTAGTCTACATTCGACCCACCGCCCATGCGCTCTTGCGTAAATGTTTTCATGCCACTCCTCGCGGCGTGTTACTCTTCACTCCTCTTCACAGACAGGCAACTTGGACCACAAAAACATTCACCGATGAGCTACGTCGTCTAAGCAGATCAGTGCCAGGAATATCATTCCAGATAGGAGCACAACTGTATCGACAGATATCTATAGCCATCACGGAACGGCATGTGCGCCMGGCTGCACCTTTCAACCGCTCTGATGATACTTCCAGTACTGCTGGTGAAGATATCGCGTTTGCGTGGCAAAGCGGCCATAGGCCTCTACAAAGACATACTACCTACGGTCTTGATGGCGCATTTCCTGATCAGCTACAGCCAGCATTGTTGAAGATCTACGCCAAGCTCTCTGCTGAGTGGCAGGCATTCTAACACATAGATGAACAGCCAAATCTTAACTCTACTACGCGAAACGTTTCTAGTCATGGCAATGATAGCAACGACCACGTTTATAGCACTGAGAATATCGAACCGCTCTCCAATCGAAAACGGCCCAATGTTGGAATAAATCAGGCGGTAACAGCCCACTTGCAAAAAAAAAGAAAGGCCGGACAGGATACCCAGGAAAACCATAGCTATAGCGTTGGAAGTGCAGCCCTCGATGAGACTACGATACACATTCCCGACCATGTAATGGAGAACACTGACGACTACCAAACCGTTGATGATTATCCGGCCTCTACAACACGATCGCGGGACCCATCAGACACTGGTTCAGATCAAAACTTTCCTAGTATTGGGCCATTTGCCTATCTCAAAGAGTGGAGCCTGGCAATTTGCAAAGAATGTAGAACCGCGGTCCTAGCAGGAGAGATATGCAGTCACTTGTGTAACCGTACACATTTACGGTGCTTCTCAAAAGATAAGCGACGCGAGATAATGTCCCAGATATTCAACATTCCAGGTATATTGAAGAGCCAAGAGGACTTGAGGGAGTTTCAACCCCCAGGTCCCAACACTGGGGTAATACCATTCCTTGAACCGCCGAAGAAGGATGGACTTGCTTGTAATAGTTGCTTATTTGTTACACGACAGCTGAAAGAGATCCAAAGTCATTGCCAGAGTAATCATGGCTGGGTCAATAGTCGTAAGCGTGGTTGACAGATAAGGGCGATGAAAGAACAGGAATACAATATCATGTGGAAAACTGGAGTGTGGTGTCAGCGTTTTTTCCAATCGCGTCTCGGAAGCAGTTGGTTCCAGGTGCGCCAAGCAATTACTTATTAATGTCAAGCCATATAGGAAGAATAGTATAGCTTTTCTTCTGTAGGCTACTTTGTTTCAGCTAGTATAGGTTGCTATTTATACTTAATCAGTAAATAAAATACAACATCTTATTCAATTAACCCAAATATGAGAAGTTATCAAGGCAATCCCCGGTATTATCAAGAACCAGGCAGAGTTAGAGCAGTGGGAACCGCCATCACCAACCATAGAACGGATCCCATATATATCACCGCCCAAGGATGACGGTAAGGGTTGTAACGAGTGCAGGTATATAGGATCGACCGACAGACGCATTTTAGATCATTGTAAGGTAAATCATGGGTTTATTGGCGGCCGCAAGAGAGGACGATATGCGGGACGAATAACGATAACCGAGAAACCATGGAGAGAAGGCGTGCGACACCAGCGATTGTTCCGGTCCCGAGCGAAAAGTGGTTTTATTGAGGTTGAACGCGGTATCGATGTTTGTGAAGATACGGACCAGACACGAGAGAGTATCGACCAAGTGGCCGAATTTTTAAAGCGAATTCACCAGGAGGATGAAGATGCATTCGAAAGCGAGGACAAAGCACGGATACAGAACATTCATGACAAGTGGGAGGCAAGCCCATGGTTGAATCGGACAGGATGGCCAGCACATTTAGATGGATTCGAACCGGACGTGTTACGACAGTCGATGCGGGCGATCGAAGACGACGAGCCCGTGTTGCAGCGAAAGTGGGCGATATTCGATTCCGTGTTAGATAAAGCATATGAAGCCGCCATTCGATGCAGCCCAGGGTCAGCCGAATTGTTCGAGATTGAGCGGAAGGAGGCCCATGTAACGACAACGATGCCATTCAACGGTAGGATGGAGGATGATGCATGGCCCAAGTACAAGGAGAGGTGGAGAATATTGATGTGTATTTGGCAACGAATGGAATCAGAGGATGAAGATGAGCGGCCGCCATATTCCATGACAACGCAACAGGCCACGTTATGGGAGCAGTTCAGCAACCATATAGGGCAGGTTGTTGCAGGAACCGATACGATAGGCAGGTTCACGCCAGAAAGGTTAGAGAGGTCGTGTTTAGATATGGTTGTTTCATTTTTGGATCATCCATTTAAAAATGGCGATCATTACGAGAGCGTCATCATCAGCGGATTAGCCGTAATGGGCATATCAGATCACGGCGGGTGGTTAACGCCAATGGAGTACACGCCAGTATATTCGGCCATTATCAAGGTGGCCTGCCTAAATACCCTAGTGCACCATACCAAAACCAATTCTACGTAGAATTCATTTGTTTTATGCCARACAACCCAGGGTAGAATTGATTTTTACAGGGGGGTAGAATTTAATTTCTCGACCCACCAAACAGGGAGTAGGGTTGAATTTCGCAGGGGTAGACTTCATTTATGCTAGGGGTAGACTTCATTTAGGCCAGGGTCAATTAAATTAATCACAAAACGCGTAGTTGGCAAGAAGGCGCGAGTACGCGTAACTTAGAGTGTATATTTACTAGCAATAATCTTCTAAAATAGGTTATAGAGATCTTCCTCTTAACCAAGACCAAGATATAGAGAAGCATATACCTAATCGCTGTATAACAAGTTTCTTGCTAATCAAGACAATGGACTCTAGTAAGCAGTCTCAATCGTCCAACCCAATCTACCCATTCGTTATTCTTCCAGAATATCAACTTCTAGTGTGCAAGTTATGCGGATTTGCAACCCTACCTAATGAGGTCAACACACCTCAGGACAAAACACAACAACATTGCTCTGGAGTGTCGGCGCAGGTTGGTAGAGCAGGTCAAAGCAATCCCAAATCTTCTCCAAGACCAAGCTAAGCTTCGACTACCACGCATACCGATTGAACCGATTTCTTGCCTTGCTGCACCGAGATTGGACGGACGGAAGTGCCGGAAATGTGGCTGTATGTTCCGCCAAGCCCAAAAGATGAGGCTCCATTGTACGAAGGAGCACCTCTGGAAAAACCCACGAGAGAGAGGAAGGCCAATATCAGGTCTAGAGCCATCTGCTGAATTACCATGGATTGAGGGCATTGCGTGTCAACGGTTCTTCCCTTCTCGGGAAGGTAGCAGATGGTTCGAGGTCCTTCAAGGAACTAAAAAATCCAAGAAGGGAGCAAGACTCGCAAAATCATCTCGGCCTGATTTGAGCAAAGATATCCGAAGCCTGAACTGTGAGGCGCGCGCCCATCTAAGTGATGTATTAGAGCGAGAGGAGAATTTTTTTGACCAGATGAATCAGCCACGCATGGGTGCCAAGGACTTGGGCAGCGATGCTCTTGCATCTACCGGCCTATGGCCAGAGAGAACTCAATGGCGGGTCATCTTTGAGAACGCTCGACGTGATATCCTACGAGCAATGACGCGGTTACCAGATCGACATTCATTGATGTCAGACTATGTTATGGCACAAGGGTGCCAGCAAAGGGATTTGTGTATTAGGAGCTCCTACGTGGATGAACAGAAAATATCGTGTACCATGAGGGCATTAGACTTTGTGATAGATCGCTGCGAGAACACAGTCCGTCACACAGGCCGCACCCTCTTATGCTGGCTTTCGAGTCCGAAGCTCCATGTCTATCGCGAAAATCCATTCTGTCTTGTGGCAGAGAAGAGCAGCGAAACTAGATATAGGGTGCTTAGAAACGCTTTCTTACATTCGTTATCCGACTTTATAGGATGTCGAATGCTCTGCAAGGAGAAGTGGCCAACTTTCGGTTGAATGCGGTGCTTTCTGCGAGACTGGAACGTTTATGGAGTCATAAAGTTTGGAATATGTTCGATGTATCTCGGGGACTATGGCCCGATCTTGGCAATTCCCTACTCAAGAATTATCAGCAGAAACGCATTGCGTTTCCTGTTTTTGACCAATCATCGTCTAGCATTTTAGCCCCATATTTCCCGGATGGAAACGCACTGCGTTTCTTGGACCGCACTCATGAAATTAGAAAACCTAAAACACGAAACGCGTCGTGTTTCCGTCGGCTGACCCTTGTCGAGTTCAACAACTTGACTACTCCAGACCTAAACAACATTTATTACCATCGTTTACTGGAACTCACGTGTCTATCATCTTCGTATAATATTAATCAATATCCTCCATTCCATCCTATCTATTATACTTATATTAATTATAATGGGCCCCTTCTCTGTTCGTTAGCAACATAGCCATGCCACTTTACCCCCAGCAAAGTTGCAGAAGCCTGACACGCTCGGCCTTTATTACAATTTGCCGAAAGCAGCTATTATATGTACCAAATGCGGTTTTGCTTTGAGCCCTATACGTGCATCGGAGCATACTGGCAAAAAGTACGACATTGCACCCGACACTCCCCCGAGACAGCTGCAGCCGGGCTCTGCAAGGATTACTGAATGAGCGCAGCAACTAGTGACCGATGACATCCTTGGAGGGGACTAAATGATAGCTAAGGTCATTACCAAAAGTCGATCTCCAGAGTCTCGCAACGATGTCACCTTGGCTAGAGCTGTAGCTTTTGATGATGGAGCCGGTGGCACGATGTCTGCCAGGTCGTTGGCTACTCGCAAGTATGAGCCAAGGTCAGGGTTCGGCAATATGACATCGTAGTGACCACCTGCGCCTTTCATTTCAACAAGGCACCAGCACCGATGGGCTCTTTGCACTTCGACACAAGCCAAGCCAGCCTCCCGAAATTGCGAGGACTGAAGCTGGAACGCCTTGAGCCTGATTAACATTTTGGATGCAAAACCAACAGACGAAAACAAGCAGCAACGAAGTCTCGGCTATGGTCAAATTTCCCAGGAAGGTAGAAATCGACGCAGCTCGACATGGCAACTACGGTGTACAGCAGGGAGTGATGTCGTGAGAATTGTTGTTCTAATAGGGCTATTGCTTCTTGCTGAATTCTGTAGCGCTGCCCACTTTTACCTCGATACAGAGGATTAGTAACTAGGCTGGCCGTCTATCTTATGTTTTCTTTGTCCTTCTGTCTCCTCACCAGCGTGTACAAATATGTGTACTACGAGGATCCTGGCGCCTATACGTGATGCGCTGCACACATCCTCGTATACATCGTACGAGCTCTTCAGTAGTGGCCCACTCTGTTTCTCTGCTAGACTGTCACAGAAAGCTTTCAGTCGATCTTGACGTCGTTCGATGAAGGTTGCACTCGTTTTGCATTGTCTCTAAAGACGCTATATATTCATGGGTATCGTCAACAACCAGTCCTCATTCCAATCTCGTCATCTTCAACGGCCTATCATCTTCATATATACCTTGTTCCCCACCATCTACTACACAATAGTCAAGTTTTATCAGCTTTGAGCCGGCTTTCAAAGCCAAGTCTCTATCCGGCGATGCCGAGACACTTGATACACTGACCGACTTCGTCGACGCAAAAGAATCCTCAAGACCAGGCGGTGAGCCATGTTGAAACCAATCAAAACTCCTCTTCCGTCGCCGTCCCCTCGGCGGATCATCATCAAGCTCACCATCTCCATCCCAATTATACTCTCCCTCATTAGCGACACTATCGCTCCGTCGCTCCCGTTTCCTCGGACTATTACTCCGACTTTGCGTAAACGACGTAAACACATTCGCATTATCTCTCACTTGATTCGCAGTCAAATCACGAACACTCGACTTACCCGTCTTAACATCAAAAAGAAGGCAAGCAAATCTTGCCATACCTTTAAGGAAACGATAATTTTCCACGTCAAACACGGCTTGTGCGAAGCGCGCGAAGACGAGTTCCTTTGAAACTCCCGCGATAGGTTGAAGAAGTCGATTGTGGTACAATTCGACGAGTTCGGTGGATTGGGGAGATGTGAAAACGTGGATCAGGAAGGGTGGATTCTGCTCATCAGGATTACCGCGTGGTATGAAGGCAAAGCGGCGTTGATCGAAGAGATGATGGAGATCTTTCCTTAGGAGAATCATGTTTGCTTGATCATTTACTGGCTCGTCGCAGCAGTACCTGGCGCATCCAAGTCAGCATAAATCCCTGAACGAGGTTAGGAATTTCCATGTACTTATTCATCCGGTTGTAGGTGAGCCAATGACCATCCGCGACAGGGACCAAGTGAGCGACTTCGGTAGCCCTGCTATGTCCAGATATACGACACGATACATCCCTAAAGACAATAGCATCGCGATTGTTGGAGACTGCAGAGAAAGGAGGAGGTCTGGATATTGTCGCATCCTTCCAGAGATCTGGGAGGTTGTCGTGAGGAAATCGCCAGTGATCAAAGGAAGGGATAACAGGGTATCTATCTGCAACCCACCACGTCAGCATCTTATCTCAAAAGGAATAGGAAACACTCACAAGACGCTGGATGGTCGCCGGTAAAGTAATAATACTCCCTCTGACGTAAGATGCCATTTTCAGGTTTGTTTACCCGCTGATATTCATCCCCTTGTTTTGTTGCTAACCAGCCACTGGCCCAAGAGTTATTTGCAACTATACCACAAGCCCAGCAAGCAACATCATAATCAATTCCATCCTTGTTCTCGCCGTCGAAAGCTGCAAGACTGAGTAAAGCGTTTTCAGTTGGATATGCTGGATGACGAAACTCGATGCGATGATCTGTCTTGAGGGCTTCACATGAGGGAGGTTCTAGTGCTGGACGGACTCGGGCCATTGATAAAGTAGTGAAGAAAATTGATGCAGATTTTGTAAGTGGTTGGTTTTTCTTTATGGTAATGTCTTGTCCTACAATTAATTGTCCTGGTTGACGTGAGAATGCTGGCTGACTCTGACGTGACGTGTTTTTACGGCGGTTACTGGAGTGACGCGGCCGGGGCATAGTTTTACCGATCCGAGAGGTACGTCACTAGAATCGCCAAGTTCATCAGACAAGCAACTTAACACGCTATCTGAAAATCTCACCTTGAGCTGGAATTAGGTTATCTCCATCGATTACATGTTTTTTTCGATTTAATCCTATAGTTCTTTTCATTTATCGCCATGCAGTTCTTTGCTAAGCTGTTCTCACTTTAACGAGTGATGCTCCACCTGACCCTTCCAACGGAGCCCCTGCAGGTTGAACTTCAACCCTTGTATTTCGTCTTTAAATAAAGAGGTATGGTGTTGGCATGGACGCCTATCGCCAATTTCGCGTGGTGGCTGCTCAGCTTGCGGCAACACTTAGTCGATGGCCGTTTTCGGTTTTGATGCAAACCCTACTCTAGTATTCTAGTCGGCAACGGGGCCGTTACTGTCCAGGTCGTGTTTACAAAAACGCGGAACGGGGCCCGTTTCATAACATGGTGATCCGTGCCATCCTTGCTGAGTTCATTGCTCGTAGGCAAGAGCCAATCATAGGTAACTAAAATAATTACTTGATTTGATTTCATGTCTGATCTCTCCTCGACTGTCGCGTCTTGTACTTATATTCAATAGTTTAGCGATTGGATTTATCCCTTTGAGCGGTACAGCCTTTCAGCGGGGTCAAGACAGGGGTGTAGGACCAATCAAGATGAATAAAACTAACAGTACTTCTCCCTACATACTAATTTGTATGATAGTAAAAGTCCCAGCAGTTTTGATTGTTACAAAGAGCTACCTCACAGACTCGGCAGCCGTACCAGGTCTGCCTACCTGAGCCTCCTCGATGCCGACTTCGTATATTACCTGTTATCGGCTGTAAGAGAGTATTTTCAACCTTCTTTTCTTAAAAAGGTCGGGGCTGCCCCTGCCTGAAGCCTTTACAAGCAAGGCAATCTGAGAATATCCCCCTGTTGTCATGATTGATATCTCTTGGTAGGCGATTTTGCCGTGACCAGGTATCGTTCATGTCCTCCTCTTTCCCTGCCACGGGCCACGGCGAAATCGGTGCTCATAGCTTGTATAGGACCTTATCTGATCTCCTCGATCCACGTAATTCATTTCATCGTTATAAGAAGCAGATACAGTCGGTATAGGAATAATCTTTATTACGGCATCACCAAAGGTCTCCTGTATCGGCTTGGATTTTGCCCCTTTGTCGGCAGGCTTCTTCCTTCTTTTTGGGGTGCGTTGGTCATCGGCACCGCTGTATACGGTAGAGAGAAATAACATGAGGCTATTATCCTTCAAAGCGATTTAAGCGACTTAAGAAGGAGGAATTAGTAAGGTAATTGCATGTAAATAAGTCCCTGGGGCGTATGAGGTTATCTATTGTAGGGATTGACTTTACTTCATTATACTTAAAGCCTGAGGCACCTGCCTTGTCCTTCCCTTTTGCAACTTTAAGCTCCTTAGTGATGCCACAGTTAGGGCAGGCTGTGCCTGTAGCTCCGTGACCGGCTTCTCGAAGGGCACGGAAGAGATTGGGTGAGGAGAAGAGGTTATCCATAAAGACGTGATATGTCTGCTTCGGCAGCATATTAACTAGGTGAATGATGACTCCTGCCGTATTGCTGAGGGCTACAGTCTCCTTGGGCCTTCCCTTCCCCTTCTTCCCCTGTTGCGGCTTGGCAGCCGGCTTCTTCTTTGACAGCTCGACGATAACAGCGGTATATGGTGATGCCTTCACATGCCACAGCCACCGGATAAAGAGGCCGTTTTGGGCGATAACCCAGACTTTGAACCCTACGGGCGTAGGCTTATTCTTGACTAGGGTTGTATCCTTACTCCTGCTTGTAAAAGGGACCATACACTCATCTACAGTAACGTAATTCCCTAGTATATAGAGCTGGGCTGACACCTTCTGTATGAGGTCAGACCACGGTTCAGCAGCTTGGAATGCCTTCGGAAGGTCCTCTTCGTTGCCTAGGTCAAGCAAAGTGTGGTCGAAAGTCCGTATATAGCGTGAGATTGACTAGAACCGCTACAGAGGCATGAACTTGATGATTGAATGCATGGGGGCCTGAACACCTAGGGAAGGGGGGCTCCAATAGCTCTTGATCGTATTTCCTTATGAATGCCTAGGTAAATCAGCAACCTGAGCCATACATATACTTGTGCAGCCGAGAGCCCGTCCTACCGGTTGATCCGTGACTGGTCGGAAATGGCCGAGTTATGGCTATCAATAACGCCATTTTGCGTAAGATAAGAGACCCGGCTATTGCTGTGGTAGACCCACGACTGTACGAGGGATATAGGTGTAAAAAGCTGGAATAGCTCGAGTGGTGTTGGGGGCAGTACCGGTATATGGATGTGGAAGTCACGATCTTCTACGTTAAAAGGCATGAAGTTGCGGTCAGCTGCCTCTTCAGGCAGATTAATTATTATCCCGGTGGGGCCTAGGCCTCTTTGCTGTGCATGTGTGTGAAAGCTACGATCATCGAAGTCATATTCCTTAAGTCGTATTTCATCAAGAATCGGTGGGGAATTCATCATTTCAATAGATATCAATTAGCATGAGCTTTTGGTGGTATTTTGCAAAAATTGAATATCTCGAAGTTCGTACTATTACTTTAGTTTATTAATTAATCTCTCATTCTTACTGTCGATAAAGGTCAGCCTTGGCCTCTTAGACTCTTGCAAATCACTGCTGATGGGAAGATATTGCGTCGCAAGTCAGCATTTATGCAAGATGTCATTCGGATTCAAAAAGTGTCGAATTCTTTGGTTGAAGTGACAATCAAAGTGGGGTAGCAAGACAAGCTGACAGCGTGGTTCACACCCTCTTTGCGACAAAGGAGCTACACCATGCAGCCATTTCTGAATCGCCACGTAGCGCACCAGAAATCAGAGCGGGGAAGTATACACCGAGTGTTTTTTATTGCCAACTCCCATAAGGTCTGTTTCTCAGGCGTAGAAATTTCGGAAGCAATATCGCCCACTGTGTAAAAATACAGAATTGAATATTTATTATAGAAGGCAAAGAAGACCAACATGTCGCAATATTACTTGCTGCTTGCTCAGATCGAAAGAGCTTTGAGCATTACAACCAATTTAACAGCTCTCGGTATCACCATATGGAACCAAGTGAAAAAGGATCCCAACAATCCTCGACTGTTAGCAGAACTCCAGGGCCAAGTAAATGAAGCGCAGTTTGAAAATGAAGTATGTTACTACTCCAAGTCCACGCTTGTGATTTTGAAGGAAGAGGAACTGATTGTTTAAAGGTTTCTCGAGCTCAGATGAACAGCATGCTCAGTGTTCTACAATGCATGCAGAACGAGTCCAACAATACAAACAAGCTTTTGAAGTCCATGGCTCATTGCATGCAGTCTTACGTCAACCTATCCGTAACTGGTCAGATGTTCCAGCTTGGTAGTCTGTTGACAGATATGGCTGCTGTTGCTGAAATCAAACGGCTTGCGGATAACACTGAGATGATGGCAGGAACACTGCAGGGTATTGAGAATAACTTGAACTCTATCAACTCCCGAGGCGATTACTTCCCTCAGCACGTCTACTCATATGTCAAGATGATGATTGAGCGGCATGCTCACAACGAAGTCCCCCACTATTTCTTTATTTTCCATGAAGGGCATGAATGGCACCCTAAGTTCGAGGATCTGCGACGTCAAACACCACTAGGTTCTCATTTTGTGGGGTATAATGATGACCTAGACCAACTTGCCGCCTTCCTTGTCGAGGAGTTCCGCCCTCGAATTGGTCCAGAGCCAGTCCTGCACATTTTGCTGCCGACAGTTAAGCCTCTTGCTATTACTGAATCTCTGGCCTTTCCTCCTGAGATGAGGCCGTTTTGCATAGAGGGTCAAAAAGGTGAAGGGGGCGTTCCGTTTGTGTTCATGTGTACCCCTTTGCCAGAGGATCGCCAATGCATGAAGTACATCGGCGCCCTCACACCAAAGCCACGATGGGTGCTCTTGCGACGCTTGGGGCCACGCTTGCCATTTATAGGAGAATATACATCCAAAAATCTCGAGCAGCAATTTTTCGAACATCAACCTTGGCACACAGACGCTGATTTGGGTTTGTATACCTCCGTCCGTTGCCCATGTGATCCAATCCGTCCAAGAACGATTGGAAGTCCTCTGGTCCTTCGAAAATGGCAGGTACCACCGCTAGTCGCTGAATACGTGCTTGATAGGCCGGCGGAGGCGATAACGGGGCGTTATATCCTACCTGTGACTGAAACTCAGGATTGACTGTGCTATAAGAACAAACATAGCACCCAGAAAGGTATCTACAACGTCTAAGCAATCTCAGTATTGTATAACTAATTCTCTTAAGGCATTACTGAGGGAAAACTAGCTTAATCGGGCTAGGGGTAGAATTATAGGTATTTTGAGCCTATCCCAGCTGCATGGCGGATACAGCTCTGAATCCATTTGCATTCCCATAGTAAAAAAAAAGGCGCTAATGAAATGGCGACCTAGTAGTCAATGACAAAAGGAACTCTAGTAGAGTTCTTTTTTAGGCTCCACTTTACAGGGGGTAGAGTTCTTTTAAATGACAGGGGTAGAGTTCTTTTCCATAACCGCCAATCAAAATCTCGTAAATGTATTACCTAATAGACGCGAGTACGCGAAGCATACTCAAGTATTCATGTCAGGAACGGGGCCCGTTCCGCGTTTTAAACCAATCACACGTGCTAAAATGAACAGGGGTCGCGCAGTCTCAGAACGTGCCCCGTTCTGACTTTTTACTCTCAGCACTGAACGCAAAACGGGGCCCGTTCTCACAAGTATCTGGCGACGGTCTCTAGTAGTGTCCATTGACCATTCTCACATCAATCTGGCGACGATATCTGTTAGACCTAGTAACCAATGACTAAATCAACTCTAGTAGAGTTGATTTAATTGACCCACTTTAAACCTAGTAGAGTTGATTATTGCCAGGGTGTAGAGTTGATTTGAAAGAAACAGGGGTTTGGCAGGGACTTGGCAGGGGTTTGCCCAGAACACGACGCGCCCTTCGCATAAAGTGCTAGACTATAGGTGGTTATATCATACGACTGAATGATTTAATTATTGATCGAAGCATAATTGTTATTCGCATCTTACTATCAGTAACTACGTCATTAAAATAATCACTACTATCGTTCAAATTTGTAATCTGAATCCTGCAGTGAAATTTATCCTTACCTTTTTAGCGACAGGTATTTTAGGGAGCTGCCAGGCATTGA